CCCTAAACCCAAACCCTAAACCCTAAACCCTAAACCCTAAACCCTAAACCCTAAACCCTAAACCCTAAACCCTAAACCCTAAACCCTAAACCCTAAACCCTAAACCCTAAACCCTAAACCCTAAACCCTAAACCCTAAACCCTAAACCCTAAACCCTAAACCCTAAACCCTAAACCCTAAACCCTAAACCCTAAACCCTAAACCCTAAACCCTAAACCCTAAACCCTAAACCCTAAACCCTAAACCCTAAACCCTAAACCCTAAACCCTAAACCCTAAACCCTAAACCCTAAACCCTAAACCCTAAACCCTAAACCCTAAACCCTAAACCCTAAACCCTAAACCCTAAACCCTAAACCCTAAACCCTAAACCCTAAACCCTAAACCCTAAACCCTAAACCCTAAACCCTAAACCCTAAACCCTAAACCCTAAACCCTAAACCCTAAACCCTAAACCCTAAACCCTAAACCCTAAACCCTAAACCCTAAACCCTAAACCCTAAACCCTAAACCCTAAACCCTAAACCCTAAACCCTAAACCCTAAACCCTAAACCCTAAACCCTAAACCCTAAACCCTAAACCCTAAACCCTAAACCCTAAACCCTAAACCCTAAACCCTAAACCCTAAACCCTAAACCCTAAACCCTAAACCCTAAACCCTAAACCCTAAACCCTAAACCCTAAACCCTAAACCCTAAACCCTAAACCCTAAACCCTAAACCCTAAACCCTAAACCCTAAACCCTAAACCCTAAACCCTAAACCCTAAACCCTAAACCCTAAACCCTAAACCCTAAACCCTAAACCCTAAACCCTAAACCCTAAACCCTAAACCCTAAACCCTAAACCCTAAACCCTAAACCCTAAACCCTAAACCCTAAACCCTAAACCCTAAACCCTAAAACCCTAAACCCTATACACCCTAAACCCTAAACCCTAAACCCTAAACCCTAAACCCTAAACCCTAAACCCTAAACCCTAAACCCTAAACCCTAAACCCTAAACCCTAAACCCTAAACCCTAAACCCTAAACCCTAAACCCTAAACCCTAAACCCTAAACCCTAAACCCAATGTTTTTCTATTTCAGTACATAATGAGTGAGAGTAACAACGGTGTAATATGCCTTCTATATTACAATGGGAGAAGATATTTTGGACCGAACGGTCAAGTGTTTGAAGGAGATACAAAAAATCTTCTTCCTGAGTCCGCTTTGCAAATATACTGAGCTGAAGAAAATAATATACAAGAAGTTGAGATTACAACGAGGTGAATCATTGTCTCGACTGATTGCTAGATGCGCTTCTAGTAACCTGGTGCATTGGGTTGCTGTGGAGGTGGTGGAAGATGAAGATGTGTCATTAGTAGTTGATGTATTTTGACAACACGGAGATGAGTCCTCATCCATCGAGTTATATGCGGAACTAAACACCGGTGGAGAGGCAAGCACTCAAAGTTCTGTCCCAACCAGTTACTCCATAGACATTAACAGGGAGCCGCAAGTAACTGCAGATGATATGCATGTCTCACCCCCCACCACCATCACCCCCACTAACAATGCCTTTAGATGTGATTCCTGCTCCGTATGATATGTCATGGCGTACTGATAGTTCTGAGGAAGATGTTGATGAAGGTCTTGTCCCTGACAGTGATTCATCGGATACAGACGTTGATGATGATTTTGAAATGGAGCCGTCTGCTGCATTGTTTGAACCGTTTGCATCACCGGGCATTGTTGGTACGCATGACCCACCACCTGCTCCAGGTAAGGCTATTTACCGTTGTTTTTAACTTTTTTTGAAATGATATTATTAGTAACGAAATTCGAACTTGTGTCAAACAGGGGAGGATAGTGTACCATTTTGGGCGCAAATACCACTTTACACGAACATTACTGGGCACACCCCGATCAAGAAATTGATGACATGCAAGGGGCACAAGTACCAAATTGGCAAATGGGTCAAGAACTCTATAAGGACCAGCAGTTTGAAAGCAAACAGGATGTACAAATGGCCATCAAACAATACTGTATGGCAAATAATCGCACAATTGTCGTGCTAAAAAGTGATACGAAAAGGTTGATAATGATTTGTCAAAATCACAATGATGGTTGTCCATGGAGAATGTGTGCATATCTTAAAAAAGGCGGTCATGAATGGATAATAGGCATATGAAACAACATCCATACATGTGTTAGTCACACTTTCACAGGATCACAAACAATTGAACTCTAATTTCATTTGTTCATTGATCATCGGTAAGTCAACCAGCCTCTCTATGTTTTCAATAAATACTGTTTTTCTTAACACTAATGTGGTGTTGTTTGTCAAATCGCAGAGATGGTGCGTGAAGAGCCTAGCGTAAAGATTGGCTTAATCCAAGAAAGGATTGCATCGTGTCTAGGATTTCATATATCATACAAAAGGCCTGGAAAGCAAAGCAGAAGGCAGTTGTGAGGGTTTTTGGGGATTGGGATGAGTCGTACGCATTCCTGCCGAGATGGTTGGATTATATGTTATTGTTTTCCTCAGGGTCTGCTTATAAACTGGATGTGAATGAACATAGGATCGAGGGTCGCCTCGATGGCTCCCCAGGGTTTTCAAAAGTTCGCTGTCCCCCCCCTAAGCGAACTTGGTGCATGCCAGCCACGTGGCATGCTAGTCGTTGCACACAGGTCGCCCACGTTGGCAGCGACCTCTGCTGCATGCAAGCCACATGGCCTGACAGGTGAGGCATTAATTGCAACAGAGGTCGCTTTAAGCAGTAGCGAACTACCCATCCACCAGAAACGTGACACATCATCAGTCAGAGTTCGCTACTGCTCTGGGCGAATTTGCCCTCGTGGCAGTTTGGTCAAATTGTTTTCTGGCGTGGCATTTGGTTAAATAAGTCTTGGAACAGTGGCACAATGGTCACTGTTCCGGATATCGATAAGTACTTAGGTCTGAAGGAGGGAAAATCATCCAAGAAGTTTAAAAGAATATGAGATATTCTTTGTAACACGCAGAGATGAACGAGAAAGATGTCATGAAAAATTAATGAAATACTTGAGATTTCATGTAACTTGTGATCTACTTTGAGCTTTTTTAAAAAACAAAAAATAAATAAATATACTCAACTTAAATCAAAACGATTTCAAAATATTAATATTGACTTTTTAACATTTTTTATAAAAGATTTTATTTATAAATTAAATCAATTCTTAAAATTTAGAGTAAATACTTTTTTTGATCGTCAGCAAATTTCACGATGCCCGCTTTAGTTTCTAGCAAATAAAAAGCCTCATCGTGGTCCCTAAGAAATTCAAAATGCATCCATTTTAGTCCTTTTGAGGGACTAATATGAGTCTTTTTTGAATTCGTGAGGGACCACGATTTCAACTAAATGGATCCATTTTGAATTTTTTAGGGACCACGATGAGCCTTTTTATTTGCTAGGGACTAAAGCGGGTATCGTAAAATTTGCTGAGGACAAAAAATATTTACTCTAAAATTTATTATTACAAATTAACGTCAAACTTAAATGATAACTACGCATTTAGCTCGCCTCATCGAGCTCAAGTTTCCATGCTAATTTTGTTATTTTTTTTGTGCCAATGCCAAAATAAACCGAGACGAATAAGGCTAGGCGAGTCCCAGAATAACGCGTAACTGCTCAAACCTGGGAAGGGTGATAAGTCTACGGTTTTCTATATTTTATAAAGAAAAAGTAAATACAATTATTGGATCATATATCCTTTCGTGTAAAAAATATCATGTTATTTGGTTATAACTATTTATTTAAAAATTATATATATATATATTTTTCTCTTATCTCATTATCAATGAGTGAAAATGAACAGTTGTGATCAAATAACATTATCACATGAGAGGATCTAAATCTCAAATTATTTGAATACTTGCAAGATTGATTTTTAGTTGTGTTAGTTTAACATGTCGGTGCTATCTTAATGATAGATACATTATCTTTTTTTTTTTTCGGTAATCACATTATCCCTTTTAAAATACATTGAAACAATTTACCAAAAAAAAAAAAAAAAATACATGGAAACAACAGCCATCAGTAATGATTAATATTTCAGAAAAATAATGTCTGAATTATTTTAAAAATCTTAATGTTAAAAAATTGATTCAGTTTTAGAAAAATTCTTCAGAAGTTAATTCTAATTCATTTTTAGATGATAAATTGAAAATATTTATTATTTTATAAATTTTATAAGAAAAACTAAAATATCCCACAATACAAAAGAATTTTAGCTCAAAATCAAGTTTTTTCACACAATTGCAAACCAAACATGATAAAAACATATAAGAATCACGATTCACTATTCAAAATAAATCTAGGGTCTTAAGAATCTAAAATTAACAATCTCATGTACAAAAAAAAAAAATTTAACAATCTCAAATATTTTTACCCTTTCTAGGTTAATTACTTTATCTCACTTATCCAAAAAGAGAAATTGAAGTTGTTTTACCTCTGAATTTCGATTAAATTAGAGCTGCAGTCACTATTTCTAGGATGTTACTTTGGTTAAGAAAATAAAATAATCAAATCTACTTAACTAAATTTCATGACAAACTAATTAAATAATTCCACAAGTGATCAAATAAGAAGAAATTAATCATAAATAATAACATCTTTAAGAGAAGTTTAAAGCCTTTTTAATTCTAGACCCACCCCACAGAATGGCCTCTCGAGGATACATGTTTATCCAAAAAAAAAAAAAAAAAATCATAAATAATAATTCTATTTGCTCTTCTACGTTCTTCCCATTTTCTTGTTCTTTTTTGTTGGGTGTCTTCCCGGATTTTCTTCAGCGAACTTTGCGAACTTTCTCTTCTTGTCCTATGCCCAAGGATTTCTGGGCATTTGCAATACCTTCGGGATCTGCAGTACAGCGGGTGACAAATTATATCAACAATAACGGGGCAATATCTCGAGTTTGATGGATATTTATTGTACTTAAAACGCAAGGATACATCAAAGAATCAACAAATACGTGGTTTTCCAAAATAACCGTAGTAAGTATACTAATGCCATGAAGAGCGCAGAATTATCGCCAGTAATTATGACCATCGTACACATTATTGTGGTCAAATGCCAAAAATTAAATAGAGAAACTCAGCTAGTCAATGTAGAAGATATAAAATGAAAGGGAAATGGTAAAATGATTGTGAGACTGCTATCCATATATAAAGGTTAGGACAGAATAACAGATGACTTCAAGGAATTGAAGGCTCCGCCAAAAAAACACAAGAGAATATACTCGAATTCAAGCTATGTTTATATTGATAGAAAGACATGGAATGGAGGGGAGTGAAATATAATGTTATTAATTGTCAATTGTTTCGGATTGCTTAAATATGGTAGTGTTCGGGAAATGAACATTGATGTCTAGCAGGATAGCTAGTATTTGTATCTACAGAACTTATGGTAAATATGACAGGCAATTGGAAGTTCTGCACCTTAGGCCAAAGTCTGATGGTATGAACAAGGGGGTGTGTGTGTGAGTCACCTGCGATGGATAGGATGTGCTCTAAGCACAAGTGTGTAGGATGTAGCTATGGTGGCCAGCCTTGTGAATACTGAGATAGGTTATCAGATGAGTTATCCGATGATCCCCTTTGTTAGCTATAAGGGGTTATATATAGATGAAATGCACTAGAAGGTTGTGCCCCTAGTGGGTAGTTTGCAGGTGACTTAATGGCATGATGCAATGCTTAATGGGTGGTTATTGGTAATGGATGGAAGTTAGAAGAGAGTGGTGAAATGAGATGTTCCATGTAGTGGGGATAATAAGTGATCCATAACAAGTAGAATGGAATAAAACCTGATTAAATCCATTCCATCCAATACCTCTATTTTTCTTTCTCCTAATTTGGAGGCATGAGATGAAATTAACTTATTATTTACTAATCTCCTTACCATTCCGTTCATTTCCCAAAAAATGAAATGGAAACTTTCCTCCATACCATCGTAAAATATCCAAACTATGGTTGTGGACGTGGCGAAGTCATCGTGGACAGATTCCCACAGAGGAAATATCCTGTCTAGCTCAGTCAGTAGAGCAAAAGGCTCTCAAACTTTTGGTCATGCAATCCAGCCCCAAGCTGGGCGCCAATGAGCTAAGTCTGTATCTCTCAATGGGTGAAGTATCTCGATGTATGGGTGCTCAAGAAGATAGTGATATGGACCAAAGCTTAGGGAGAGTCACCGTGGTGCTATCTCAGGCGAGGCTGAGACAGGGGGGATGTGTAAGGGCTACGGTGCTCTAAAATCCGGCAGAGTAATAGCTCATGAAGATGATGGTTATCGGATTCCTCTTTGATGGGAGAAGAGGGGTTTGTATAGATAGGAAATATTCCCTCATCATGGGAGAGAGAAGAGCCAAACCATGCTCCACAATCGTATGCGTACGATGGCGAGTTGTGCAGGGGAGTGAGGAATCCCCTATAGTGAGGTCTATGTACTCACTATAAATAAGCGCAGGGGAAACGATCCATTAATGGGACTTTGAAGGCCGGCCCAATATATTGGGCTATGAAGACCTTCCAGAACACAAACTATGACATGTTATATCATTTCACTCCATGCTACTCCATCCATCCATTTTACCCTGTCATCGGATATTCAAACAAAGCCTAGGGTTCAGCTCCATCATCACCATACAAAAATATCCGGGAAGCATAAAAATCTCAACGCTAGACTACTAAGAGGGAGAAAAAACTCACAGTGGAGATATATTGGGGGACCATTTTTTAGTTCTAAAAGGAAGAAATAAACAGTAATCTTTAAAATAGTTGGAACAGTTTGGCTCTCTATATCATATTTTATTCAATCCTTAGCTGTGGAAAAAAGTGCTCCGAATCAAACATACCAAAGAATTGTGTAAAAATGCGTGTGAAGAAGTTCAAGTTCCGAGAGACATTGTATGCCATGGCAGGAGGAAGAGGTTTCACCACAGTGTCAATGCTAAAAACTCGTTGAAGAAACTGCATTACCAAAAAAAAAAAAAAAATTACATCCAAAACTTGGAGAAGAATACTGGATGCTAAATCAATTGCCCTAGCAAGAAGGAAATGATATGTAGTCATTTATATAGGACAGGTAATAATAATAATAAATAAGAACAAAAAGGGGCAGCATGTAATATACATGTATCGTGCACATAGACATAAAGTCTAATAACAAAAGCCCAAGTAATATGTTAAATAACTTAATAACAAGGAAGGAAGCCAGCCAACATGGATATGTTGCAATCTATAATGATCAGTTAGAGGTACAGGATAATCAATATCAAACTTGGAGAATGATACTACTCTACTAACAAGTGAATCCTAAGGACCAAATGGTGCTCTAAACTGGTCAATTCATTATTAATACAATGAACCACATTTTGTGCAGTTGATTTATAATTTTATATAAACTTTTCACAATAAAAAATGACAAGAAGCAAGAAGGTTTCTAGGCATAGATTCATTTTTCACAAAAGGAACAGCTGACCGGATGAATGAGGGTGAACAAGTTTCATGGGATCCTGTAATACTATATTGTTGAAAAGCAATGCAATGGGGTTTTAGCAAGTGAGAGAAGGAAACCGGAGTAGATGACACAGAGAAAACACAACCTCGTAGTAATTTTCTCTTCAATAGGAGATGAACTTGGCAGATAGCTCCTATAGATCTTGGACCTTTGTCTTCAATTGCCCCCTTAACTTTTTTTAACTTCCCTAGGCACATGACACTACTTCCTTAGTAGATGCCTTAGCCTAGAAGCAAAGCCCCCTGCTAGTACCCAGAGTCTTCAATGGGAAACTCCCATTCCACAAGAGTATCATTGGCTTTTATTTAACAAGGTGATAAAGGAAAGAGGTATAGCTAATGTTTTTTGACATGAAATTCAACTTTCTCAGGCATTATATCTTCTAAACAAACAAAGATAATCTTCGAATCAGACCAAGCGGATAATTATTATCTGTTGCAATTGTGTTATTAAGAAAAGAAAACCTGAAAATTGCGCTGGAAGCTGTAGCGTAGCTCAGGATCAATCTCGATGGACTCGTCGTCTTGGTTGTGATTAGTTGACTTGGTGCGAGGAACGTGCATGGTTGAAGTGGCACCGGGCTGGCTCGTGAGTTTAAGCTTTGCGTCTTGGAAGTCTTCCGTGTCGTCGCCCCTCCACGGCGCTGAAGACATCAGTTGCTTCTTGCCCTTCTTCGTCATGATTGCTCTAACAATGTCAATCTCTTCTTCATGGTTAAGATCTATTATAATATATATATATATATACAGAGGAGGATGTAATGTAAGCCTATCCTAAATTCCTTATCCCATTCGGCTATTCCTAACCCTTTTCTTTTTCTTTTTTTACTTTTTTATTTATTTATTTTTCCCCAAACAAGGGCCAAACCTAGTAAATATGGATATTATTTTGGTATTGGCCAACCCGGCCCAGAGTCATCATGCCCTCCAAATCCAAAACCAAAACCCAAACCGAATAGCAATAGCATATGGCACAAAACATAGCGCAGGGCCTGGTGGTGCAATCTGCAATCTGCAATCTGCAAATGAAGTTTGTGGTGAAGAAGGCATGGAGCAGTGGTGCGCGGGTAGGAGCACTGGAGATAGGAAGCTGCCCGTTACCCATAGAGACCCCTGCTCTTCTCCTATCTACTCGTAAAGGGTTGCCTCACTTTATCTCCCCTGACCTTCTCTCTTCTCTCCCTTCCCCTGATTCTCATCTCCTTCAAGTTTCTCCACTCCACTTGTAAGTTGTAACCACTCCCATTTTTCTTTTTCTTTTTCTTTTTCTTTTTATAATCTAATATTAATCATCTTCATATCATTCACATTATTCTCTCTTGTCTACTTTTCTAGTTTGGAAGGACTTTCTTCGACCACAATATCAAAAATAGGAGGCCTTCACCAAATGCTTGGTTTGCACCAATATGGAATTGCAGCTGTAGCTGGGGATTCTATTCACTGCCTTCCTGAGTCTAAGGGAACTACCAAACTGGGAGCATCTTTTGAGACTCCTTGCGGTCGTCTATTGGTAAATTTAGTGTCACTTGCTGCCTGCCCTGCATTAACTTGCTCTCTACACTCTACTTTAGTTTTACTTTTAAATAGCGACGATTCTAATGTATCTTCTAATTCTAAATTGTCACGGCCAGATTAAACCCAACGATTATCTTGAAATGATTTCTTGCATGAGGCCAAATCTGTGGGCTGCTTTGGCTGATGAAGTACCTGCTTGGGTGTCAGATAAAAGGAACAAAACCTCAGTCGATAGAACTTTGAGATGGCTTGATGATTGCCTTGCATTAAATCCGGTAAACTACAGTTTATGTTTTTCTTCTCTAGCTCTGATATGAATTGGGTTCTGAAATTCATGAATCTCTAGAAATTTAATAGCTTTAAGGATTGTGGTTTCGTTCCTGTTTTCTTATAATTTAAGTTTGTTGGGAACACGTAGTTGAGTTGCAAAATAAGATGTAATGAATTTGGAAACGTTGTCATCACAAGCTTCACGAGTTTCTATTTAGATTTGCCATTAGTAAGAGATAATGGTATACCAGAAATACCATAGAATTTTTAGAATTGCTAGGATCGATATATAATTTTTGCTTCCTCTGACTGAGGTAACTTCTTTCGTTAGATGTAGAAATTTCCTTTTATTTAATTTTTTGACTCTTCATTCAAACATGAAAAAGTTCCTTTGTTGAAAAATCCTCAATGTATAAAATCATTATTTGCAAAGACACACGAAGGGTGTGGTTGGTTTATATTTTTGTTTTCATTAAGTTGATATGTTTTCTCCAAAAATTACAAAAATGCTAACTTGTTTTCACTTTATTTCTGTTTTAAGAATTTGAAAAGGAAATGATTAAAACAACAAAATCCAGTTTTCACTATTCCCTTTACAAATTCTTGAAAACAGGAAATAAAATGAAAACAAGGTGACCGACAGATGACAGCTCTGCCTTGTGCTCTGACACATGTCAGCTCCATGTGCCTCCTCTTCCGACTATGCAAGGTGGTGCCTCTGGCTACCGTTAGTACCATTTATCTCGTCTCAGCTTCCTCTACCCATATATGCTCTCACCTAATCCTGTTGGCATCAACCCGTTAGTCCTTTCATTCCCCACATTTTTTGTCTTATCAATCCTTTCTCATTCATCAGTTGTGGGTTGTGATGATATTAAGATCCATTATTCCCTATATTTAAACCGTGTGCTCCATGTCCCTAAACTTTTCAATAATCTTATTTCTATTCACAAGCTTACCAGAGACCAAAATTGTGCGGCAACCTTTTTTTCATTCTCATTCTATCTTTTAGGATCTTGCCAAGGGTAGGACAATCAGAGTTGCTAAGGAACAAGGACAGTTATACTACCTCCTCTTTTGAGTTTGAGTAAGGAGGAAACACTAGACATTTGGTGAAATCGTTGTGTCCTAACTACACAACGGGGAGTAGATTATATAACCAAACAGTAATAAATACAACTATCATTGTTATCCTAATTACTATGTTTACATTATTATTCTGACAAATATATACAATGAACCTAGACTTATTTACATGGCTTTCAATACTCTCCCTCAAGTTAGAGTACATAGATCATATACACCAAGCTTGTTACATATATAATACTCAGCAAGGTGTGGTTGAACTACTTTGGATAAAGATCATTCTTGAAGACTTGAAGATAAATTGGGAAGGACCAATGTGACTCTACTACAATAACAAGTCTACAATTCGCCCAGCCCACAATCCGGTGCAGCATGACCACACAAAGCACATCGAGGTTTATTGACATTTTATCAAGGAGAAACTGTAGTGTATTAATTTGCAAGCCCTATGTGACTACACAAGGATTACTTGCTGATATACTCACCGAAGAGATGAGCAATCCAGAACTTTAGAACATTGTATCCAAGCTGCGAATGTAAAATACCTGTTCCCTAGCTTGAGGGGGTGTGTACAAAAAATCGTGATCTGCTGTGAATAAACAAATAATTTGATTCTATCATCTATATTAGGAAGTATTTTGTTCTTTTTAGTATCCTTCTAGATGACCATTTTTAGTCCTTATTCCCTATATTTATTTGTTTATCTTTTTCTCTAATTTACTTTTCTCTTATTAAATTATTTGTTATCTTATTTTCATTTTATGTTATATTATTTTGTTTTTATTTACTATTATTATTTATTTATTTATTTTCCTTTTTCTTTTTTTTCCTCAACTTTTCTTGTTTTTTATTTGAGTTCATCAACATTCGACCCCAACTAGTTTGAAATAAAGGTGTTATTCATGTTGATATTAGAAAGTATTTTGTAACAGATTGGATCCCGAAATTAGGCACATTTAATTGTATCTGTTAGAATAGATATGATTAGATTTGAATAAATTACTTCTTATCTGTAAATATTCTTTTTGGATTAGATCTGGGCTTCTCACTTAAGCTCATTAGGGTCTCTATATATTGTAACTTTTTGTATTAGATTAATACACAAAATATTATTTCATATTCAAGTTGGTACCAGAGCTCTTTTGTTCTGGGGACCCTCGCTTCCGCTTAAAACCTTGTTTTCGCTTTAAAACATAAGCCCACTGCTTAGGAGTCCTCTTTTCTTTGTCGTGCGTCCTTCCGGCAAGCCATCTAGGGTTGTAAGCCCTTTCTGAGTAATTTCCGAACGCGTCAGCACCTCCGACCGCCACCGGAACCACTGTCTGTCACTGTTCCGGCCGCCGGAGAAGTTTTTCGGCGAGTTTCCAGCCCAGACTACCTGCGATCAGGACCGTCTCCTCCCGGCGACCAGATCTATGGAGGTCCAACCACCGTCGCGTCAGCTGCGCACCTCCACGCGCCGCCCGTCTCCTCTGCGCATGGAGCTCACGTGCCACCTTCAACCGGCGCGTGTGCACTGTTCCGGTGGAGTTTTCCGGCCGTTCTTGGATAGAAAGGCTCGCCTTCTTCTCCTCTTTCCAGATCTGTGGTTGGTTCTCTGTGGATCTCACTTTTTGTGCGCACCTCCTCTTGATTTGTGATCAGGTTCGTTCCTATTTACTCGGTTTATACCCTTGTGATTTAATATATTGGCAGCAACTTCTCCTGTTCATTCGGAGGTCAGTTCTCCCTCTCGTCCTGTCAAAAGTTCTCCTAATATCATCTCCACCAATGTTGGGTCCATTACCTCTTCAAAGTTGAAGGGTTCTGTTAATTACAAGAACTGGGCCACCTCTGTTCAAGTTTGGTTCTTTGGACAGGGACATGGGAACCATCTCACGACTAAATCTACTGATATTCTTAAGGAGGAAAAATCTGATTGGGAAAGGATTGACAACCAACTTCTGAGTATCCTTTGGCAGTCTATTGATCCCGTTGCTTCAGAAATTGGTAATCCCGTTGCTTGTGTTTCTCATTCTGCATCACTTGGTCCTTGGATATTTGACTCAGGTGCTACTGATCACCTCTGTGGTAATAAGGAACTCTTTTCATCTCTTACATATTCTGATAATTTACCCTCTTTTACTTTTGCTGGTGGCACTAAAGCCCCTGTTCATGGGATTGGACAAATTTGTCCAACCTCCTCATTGACCTTGACATCAGTCTATTACATTCCTGATATCCCTTATAACTTAATCTCTGTTAGTAAATTGATCAACTCTCTTAATTATATTGTTACCTTCTCAAACCATTCAGTTTCTGTGCAAGATCCGGGTACGGGGAAGACGATTGGAGTGGGCCGTGAGTCACGGGGTCTGTTCTACCTGGTTGTGCCGAGTCCTTCAGTTGCTTGCTCTCTCACAGAATCTCCACAACTCATTCACGGTCGCCTCGGTCATCCTAGTTTTTTAAAATTGCAGAAGATGGTTCCTCTTTTATCTGGTCTTCAGACTTTAGATTGTCAGTCATGTCAGCAAGGGAAGCACATACGCTCCTACTTTGCCAATCGAGTCAATAAACGAGCTGATGCTCCTTTTTCAATTATTCATTCAGATATTTGGGGTCCAAGTCGTAGTGTGTCTGTTTTAGTGTTTCGATATTTTGTTACCTTTATTGATTTTTTTCACGTTGTACTTGGATTTATGTAATGAAAAACCGTTCTGAGTTATTTTCTATTTATCAAAAAATTTCTGCTGAAATTCAAACTCAATTTGGTGCTTCTATTCGTAATTTACGTAGTGATAATGCTAAGGAATATGTTTTTGTTGACTTTTCTAAATTCTTAGCCACACAGGGTACTTTACACTAAATTACTTGT